AAAACCGGATTGAAAAATATCGAAAATATTGTATGCATGTATAAAAGACTGCAGCTGTAAGAATACGGTTTTCTCCAATATTTTTGAAATAAAAGGAAGCTTCGAGATGGGTCTGTAATTTGAGAAAACAGAAGCGTCCATATTTATTTATTTTTAACAGGGGTGCCACAACCGCTTGTTTGAAATAAACTGGCACAGAACCGGACTCTAGGCTGCTATTTATAATTGTATGGACATTAGATCCAATAGTGTCCCATATATCTTTAAAAAGTCGAGGAGGGACTGGGTCTGTGGGACAAGATGAGGGTTTTAATTTAGCAACAATGTCACTAAGAGATGACAACGACACAGATCCAAACTGCTGGAAGACAGCAGTGCATGTGATGTCAATGGAGTGGTCAAAAGAGGGTGGTGAGATACTGGGTCTAATAGTGGAGATCTTGTCTATAAAATAGCAGAGGAATTTTTCACACACCTCAGTTGAAGCTTCAATACAAGTGTATAAAGGAGAGTTTAACATAGCATCAATGGTTTTAAAAAGAACACAAGGTTTGTTTAAATTACTAGAAATAATATCTGAAAAGTAACTCATCTTTTCAGCTTTTACAATGCTCTGATACTTTCTCCAACTCTCTTTTAAAATGTCATGAGTTACATGAATCTTGTCCTTCTTCCACCTGCGCTCAACCTGCCGGCACTCACGCCTGGCAGCACGAGTGACGTCATTGAGCCAGGGTTCAGATTTAGCTCTGGGGTGCATGAGTTTCAGGGGAGCAACAATGTCAAGAGCTCCAGTGCAGGAAGAGAGAAAGGCTGAGGTTAATTGCTCAGTGTCAATGGAGTCAGAGGACATAGTATCAGACTGGGCTAAGTTTACAAATGCAGGGGAGAAACTAGCAGCAGTGGAGGGTTTCATCATATGACCGTGACAGACAGGAGTGCATGATTTAAGACTATGACAGGGCCTCGGTGTCTGCGTCTCCGGGGTAACGAGGGCCCGCCCCGCAGTAGGTGTGCAGGTACATCCGATAGAAGGGGGGAGGGGAGTTTGTGTGTCCACCCTAGCCAAACTTCGCAAAAAGCCCACATTTTCCTTGATCTTAAGCAGCTTGTGTCGGTTGTAGACTAACAGAGTCTATGGTCCTTGTCACTGAGCAAAACAGACACAGAACAAACACTAGTACTAAAACAGAGAGGCTTGGACGGCCTGCCAGACAACCCGGCGCCATCTTGGTATTGGTAAATATAGGTAAAATAAGCTTCCCTGATGATATTTTCTGTGTAGTACACAGAAAATATCATAACAAAAACGTTGAGCAGAGAATACCCTGGAACACTCAGATAAAACAAACAAAATCGATAATATTTAATAAAATGTATATAAAATGAATAAATGAGAATCGTATCTGTGTTGTTGATCTGTAATATTAGTGTTACGTTGATTTGTTTGTCCTTCTCGGTCCATGCACTACGCATTTCAGTGGTTTTGTGTTAGAAAATAAATGCAACCAATCAGATATTTGTCTGGGTCTCTGGGTTACGCTTTGCTCCCACAATGCAGTTCGGCAAAGCGTGACATCACCCCATTCAAAGTGAATGGGCAGAAGCGTTGAAGCGTCAACACACGCCGCCGTGTGTAGGGGCCGTGAAGGCTAACCTAAATATGGTGCTTTTCTACAGATCACTTTACCACTGCACTGGTAAGGTAAAACTAATGAATAAGATGTGAAGTGCTTTGTAACTTTGACCCGCTTGACTGAATACACAAAAAACAATGAAGAAAGAGTTATCTTTAGGGCTGCTTCGCTGCTGTAGCTCCCTGGGACCCGAAAGTGGCGTAGCCTACTTCAACATCAATGCATATGAAAGTGCTCGATATAACTAACACAAACTAACTATCACTATAACATGATGATGATGGTGATAAAGAATGCATCGAACATTCCGCTGTTCATTATAATAAAAAAACAGAGCATTAAACAAACCATCATGCTCTTACTTTGAAATCATGCGGAAATGTCATCATCAGCAGGCCATCACGTGGTTTCCGAAAATAGCCGAGTGACGAGTAGATTGTAGCCGACATGTTTCATTGCGTGCTCAGGATAGAGGCACAAATATAACGCCATACTTGTAAGACTTGTGTTTTGTTTCGGTAAAAAATGGTTCGTATCATCAGTTAGCTGAGTTTCTTCCCGTTAAGTGAGTATGGAACATTAATAGTTTCATAAATGTTAAGAAGCCCTGAGACACAGTTTCGTGAAAAAAAGCCTGTAGCCCCGCGGGGGGATTCACTCCGTGTCTGCCTAGACGGGAATGACAGCGGCTGGGTTTCCTCAGCAGAGCCGACGACAGGTACCAGCCAGGGGTCGATAGGGTCCAGTAAACGCAGAGAAAAAGCGAGTCGTTGAACCGGTCCATTTTCAGTCAGAAGGAACGAGGATAGCGTCAACCAAGCTTTCAGCTTCACCAGCTGGCCTCCGCGGATGCCCCGATGCTCCCTGCCTCCCAATTCCCATTATGACACCACACGCATCGGTGTGTTCCATCTGGAGTCAACCCTTGCTTCTGCCCCAGTTCGTGCTCCTGTCCAAGAGTCGTTCTCTGGAACTCATCTGGCTTTTGGAGGTCCATGGAGCCTCCAAAAGGCTCATAAGAGAAGGAGTCGCAGGTCCAGGCTAGCAGCCCTAGCCACAGAAGCCATGCGTTGGGCTCCAGTACAGGCCCCAGCAGCCATGGTTCCAGAGCACCAGTTCTGGCCCCAGCAGCCATGGTTCCAGCCCCAGCAGCCATGGTTCCAGCCCCAGCAGCCATGGTTCCGGCTCCAGTACAGGCCTCAGCAGCCATGGTTCCAGTCCCAGTTCTGGCCCCAGCAACCATGGTTCCAGCCCCAGCAGCCATGGTTCAGGCCCCAGCAGCCATGGTTCCAGCCTCAGTCCTGGCCCCAGCAGCCATGGTTTAGACTCCAGCCCCTCGTCTCCGGCCGACGCCAGCTCCCCATGTCCTGTCGGCGTACCGGCCGACACCAGCTCCTCGTGCCCTGTCGGCATTCCGGCCGACTCCAGCCCCCCGTGTTCTGTTGGCGAACCGACCGTCACAAGCCTCCTCTCAAGTCCCCTCTCGAGTCCCCTCTCTAGTCCTTCCTCTGGTCCCTTCCCAAGTCCCTTCTCTAGTCCCTACTCTAGTCCCTTCTCAATTCCCTTCTCAAGTCCCTCCTCTAGTCAATTCTCTAGTCCCCTCTCCAGTTCCCTCTCGAGTCCCCTCTCGAGTCCCTTCTCAAGTCCCTTGTCTAGTCCCTCCTCGGTTCCCCTTGGTTCCCCTCTCGAGTCTCCTCTCGAGTCACGTCTCAAGTCCCTACCCAATATCCTGGTCCGTTGGAGGTTCCGCTGGGGGTCCTGCCAACTCCATGTCCTGTCCCGTTGGAGGCCCCGCCGACTACTCCTCTGCCAGGGGTCTTGCCAACCCTATGTCCTGTGCTGTTGGAGGCCCCGCCGAGTACTCCTCTGCCGGGGGTCCTGCCAATTCTATGTCCGTGCCGTTGGAGGTTCCGCTGGAGGTCCTGCCAACCCTACAGATGGAGCACTCCAGATCAGACTCAGATGGGTGTGTCCCAGTCAAAAGCCCAGCGGATGCCAGTGGCTGGGGGTGTTGCCAAATTGCTAGAGGGCGTTGCCCAATTTCCCCATTTGTTCAATTACAGGATTTAACCATGATATGGCGCTTCATTCACAAAATACACAAAGACAACTGGGTGTTGATGAACTTAGTCTGTTTGCAAAGTTTGCAGCTCTGCAGTTGTGTTTGCCGAATACTGTAGCATTTAATCACTTATTTGTTACTGTATGGTTTTCACAAGCTACTATAATGAAAAAACATCAATATTTTAGATCAAATAAAGTATATAGTTTGCTTTATGCAGTATATTTTTTGTAATATTGTTGGGGTGTTTTTACACAGTACAGTAGATTGAAGTAAATCAATTTATACATTAAGATAAGATAAGATGGACCTTTATTAATCCCGTGGGGAAATTCAGTAGTTCAAACAGCAACAGGGTGAGAGTGAAAAACAGGACAGCACAGATTCACACAGATTAATAAAATCAAAAATAAGATGAGCGATAAAAATAATAATAATGAGAAACTATGAAATAAGAAATGAATAAAACTAAAATATAATTATCATATTATAATGTATTGTATTATTAAGTAATATCATACATTAACCCCATTATAGCAAATGCCACATTGAATGGATGAACACATGTATGCATCAATGTAAAAATACGTATATGTATTTAATATTAACCCTTTGGAGTCGACCGTCACGCCGGCGTGATCAGATCACATGACCTGTGCCGCATAAAAACAACAGTCCGGAAAACATTGCTGTGTGTTTCTGTCGAAAGTACTGGCTTGAAACTATATCCCAGTCTTTGTTTCATGCAAAAAGACCCAATAAACACGGAGATACGATGATATAAAGTTAATACATTTCAAAAGTATGAAAAATGGAAGCACATATTTGAATATCTTCGCCGTATTTTCTCATTTTACGAAACGGAAAATACTGGAAACTGTAGATTCTGCTCAACAGGATGTATATGTGTATTTCTGTCGAAAGTACTGGCTTGAAACTATATGCCAGTCTTTGTTTCATGCAAAAAGACCCAATAAACACGGGCATACGATGATATAAAGTTAATACAGATATATTTCAGAAGTATGAATAATGGAAGCACATATTTTAATATCTTCGCCGTATTTTCTCATTTTACGAAACGGAAAATACTGGAAACTGTAGATTCTGCTCAACAGGATGTATTTACCATGGAGGGAGGGGGTGAGGTAATCAGGTAAACGGAGGCCCATTCCCAAACCGCCCCCTACACCCTACCCCTACACCCTACCCCTACACCCTACCCCTCCGTTTGCGCGTTCACGCGAAGGGTCCGCCATATTGAGGGCTGGTCCAAAACAATCAGGGCGGAGGCGTAGTGGGTTATAAAAGCCTCCGACAGCGAGTTTGCATGGATGCAGGTTTGATAATCTCACTCCACAGGTGTGCAACCGTTTTTCGGGCATGGAGGAAACAACGTCATACAAATGTGAGTTCCATGTGGTTATTTTTTTAAACGATAAATAATACGTTGCCTTAACTAAAACATGCCTTTGTGAACATGTATTTATAAATCTACACGTGTTAATTTGATTTGCCAAGATTACATTAGATTTTTGTTTTGAAGATATACAAATCTAAATCGGAATCAAACTAACAACACACGTGTCAATTCATGTATCCATTCACTTACGAAATCGGTTTAAATTTAAGTGTGATTTGTAATTTCAGGGACTGTGGTAAAAACCAAGGCACTTATTGCATTAAGGATGGACAAGGACGACCTGTTTTGCAAAAAACGCAATGCTGCCAAAGAAGCATGGGAGTGAGTTATGCACTCAATTCATATTTTGTGCAATGAAAGTAATGAATGTGCACAGTGGGTCATTGCCTTAACACCAATATATATTGTTTAAATATTCTATGATAACAGGTCAATCATTAAGGAACTGGACCTTGGGCAACATGTGTCTCACAAACAGGCCTCCAAGAAATGGGAGAACCTAAAAAAGAAATACAAGGTAAATGGTGTATTGTTATTGTAAAACATGTTTGTTTTTGAAAAAGCTGAACAAAGATTTCTAACATGCATTTCTTTGCAATAGGAACTTAAAAGGCCAAGGACTGGAACAGGGACTGATCAGGGGGAAGAAACCCCTGCAACATGGCCCTTCTTCATGGCCATGGATGAGGCCATAGGTGCAAGGCCTTCAATTAGTCCTCCTGTCCTTGTTGCCTCAGCCTTGGCAAACCCCACAATCCTCTTCGATCCGGAGGCTGCTTCCTGCTCCTCTTCCTTCCCCCCCCCAAATGTGGCTGATGATCCAGACCCCTCACCACCCTCATCACTGTCTGAGGCTGGAACCACCCAGCAGCCCCCCCCCAAAAAAAGAAAAGGTGCTATGGGAGTGCTGGAGTGCCTAGAACGTGAGGCAGAAAAAGAGGACGAACGCCACAGACAAATAATGCAGCACTCAGAGAAATTTCTAACCCTATTCGAAAAAATGGTCGACAAAATGTGATTTATTTTTTTCCCCCACCATTGGCCATTTCTATGTTTGATTATTGATGTTACTTAAAAGACTTGTTTTTGGTCGCTTGTATTATTTATTTGGAAGACAATAAACCTAATTTAACGTACTGTCCTTCATGTCTTCAATATTCTATAGTAAATACAGGTAGACGGGTGATGAAGGTGACATTGCGTTTGCTTGATTGTTAGATGGCTACATTGTTCTGTGTGGGTTTCATAATGTAGAAAGAAAAGTTTTGCACAAAGTAATGTTGTGCACGGAACTAAAGTGTTTTTTCCAAAGTCTGAAGATTAACCCTGAATATCAGCATTTTAAATAAAGATGTCTGTGCGCTTCATAGGTATAAGGTATTAAAATATACATGACATTTACGGTCTTAATTGCTCATGACAAACCATTTGCAGAGTTTCACTCAAAAACAAAAGTGATTGTATTAGAAGACCTGTGTTCATTTTCTGAACCTTTGCTCTGGGCTCGTGATTGAATGATCCAAGAGGTAAGGACATTTGTCTCCAATTTGGGATTATGCAGAAAGACAATTCAGGAAAACCAAGTTTGAAATCAACGGTGCACAGGTTTATTTTATTTCACCTCTTTTCTCTAAAGTGAGAAGTGGAGCTCACTAAAACAAACAAAATTAATCAGGTATGTGTGCACATCATTTCAAAAACACAAGTTAACAGACAACCACGTTTTAAAAAACAAAAACAAAGTTCATTCGATGTAATCGTGCTCTCTGGTGTGGTGCCATTTGGAGAGGAGCAGAGAGTTGTGCAGCAATCCTGTTCCTTAGGTGGTGTCCAGGACTTTCCTGTCCACATGCTGCGGCAGGGGGAGGACTCTGGTCCCCATCTTCAGGGGGGAAGGCTTCAGCATCCTCAAGGACATCGTTCATGTCTTAATGCACAGAAATGCACAACATGCAATGATGTCAGGGGCAAAGCTTGGACTGACCTCCAGCGCTTTGAACACACACACACACACACACACACACACACACACACACACACACACACACACACACACACACAATTCTGAGACCAAGTCAAATTAAACTTTCCTTTTTTATTCTATAAACTACTGACAACATTTCTCTGTGTTGGAATTCTACATACACTATACAGATATACACGTATAGCTTATAAGGAAAGAATAAATGAATGAATATCACAATATATCTAAATATCTATTTGTATTACACATACAAAGTTCATAGGCTACTATATAAGAAATAAAGTGAAGATAATTGTTGTATTAGCAATATTGAAATGTTTACCTGCCACTGGCACATCGCTAAAATGCGCCTCAACCTTCTGCGCCTTCTGTTGGATCTTGCCATTGCACCCGCTAACAGGCGACGGATAGCAACGCAGGTCAATGCAGCCGACAGATGGAGATGTGAGTTGGACACCATGACGTCCGTTTCCGTTTCCTGCGGAGAGAGGGGAGGCCGTCCCAAAGCTTGCCGCTGTATTTTTACCCTTAACCCTTAATGGAGGGAACTTCATTCAGCTGTGAGTGTGCCTACAGACGGAGTTCACTCCGTCACGGAGGGGGAGGGTCGAGGGAGTGGTTTGGGATTGGGCCGGAGTGATACGAAACGAGACGAAGAGAGACGGCGGGAGACTGCGATTTAAGTAAAGTGACAGACAAACATTGAGAATTTAGATATAGTTAGATAGATTTAGAGTTTTGAAGATTCAACTATGATGAAGAGAACTCTGAACGTGAGTCAAGCTTTAAGCTTGTTTTTTGACATGGAGGAGGAGGAATCTGTGATGTTGCCCTCTGTGTCGTAGTTGACAGAAACCGCTTTGAAGCGTGGCACAGATAAAGACAGAAAAAACTGATTTTTGTACATAATGTATATATATATATATTTGTATTATATTTATAATAACACTTTTGCCTTATCAGAATGAAATCCCATGCTACCTCAATCAAACTTTCACATTATCATAGTGACATCCCATGTATATTTTTCCAGCTTTTAAATGGTTTCGTTGTGTATGTTTGTGTTAACTATGAAAAATAATATCATTTTCAAAATCTGTTTTTACGTTTTTTTTTGTGATTTTGGGTCCAAAATGTTCATATAGTAGAAGATCACTGCTCTAAACAAAGTCAAAAATCCTACATCCAAACGAAATCAATATAATTAATTATGATGAACACGTTAAGTCTTGTTCATTGTTTTTCACTTGTATTAAATGTTTGATATTTCCGGTGGAAATGGTGGACTATCGGACATTCAAAATGCAGCATATATTCACTCTTACACACATATATTCTCCTTTTACATACATTTTCACTCTCAGACACGTATATATATACTCACACATTCTGCTCTCATATTATCATATTTCAATGCACACATTGAATTATTGTCACTCACACATTCATGCATTTTGTCAACTCGGTAAATCAAGCCAGGGTTTCTCTCTCCAGCTGAGAACGCGTTCACGTGAAAGGGGCGGGGTTAGCTACATGTGACCAATCACAAACAGGGCCAAGTGTACTGACAGCGCAACATCATACTTCATTAATGAAAAGTAAACTAATATTAGACAAATATGAACTTTAAACATCCATGATGACTTAAACATATAATCCAGGATACAAGCCACATAGTTGCACCTGCAAGGAGAATACAGAACAACTCGTTAAAAAATAAACTACAGAGTGTTTGAAAGCGTACAACAGTTTTATGATACTGCCCCATCTAAGACACGAGGGGATCTGACTTTATTACATTTGAGTTGAGTGTTTCGTCAACTTAATGTGTTGCTTTAAATAATACGTCTGCATACAGTATGTGACAATGTAACTAAGTGTTGCACGGCCAGATACGGCTCGAGAAGCTGACTCAGATAAGGAAATATTGTGATATCGATGTGAGATCGATGATCTGATTGATGATGTGATGTCAGTGTGATATGAATGATAAGTGCGACACGTCGGCGTCTTCTCTGCATACGGCAGTTTAAACTGCATTTCCTTTTTCCTGTAATATGACTTGATAGATTTAAACTCCGCACACTGAGCTCTGATCGGTCAGCAGGCGGTGCTTTCACTGAGCTGATCTCTATTCTATAGACGCCGGAGGCGGGCAGCGTATGATGAAAAAAAAAAAGTTATTTAGCCTTCCCAAACCTGAGCTTCACGCGCCGCCTATGTGTAGGCCTACTGTATACATACAAAGGCCATTCAAGCTAGAGTTCTTCTGGAAATGTTCACATCAGGCACCTTGAAGTTAAACAATACTAAACAATTAACACAGTAGGCCTAAATTATGTGGATTAAACCACATTTATTTCGTTAAAAATAAACGAAATATGATTTTGTTTGAAAGATGAAATGTCATCAGGCACCTTCAAGTTAAACAATCAGGTGCACACTTTAATGTGCCGCGACCTCCGGACTCGGCTTGACTCGGTTTAAAGAATGTACAAATGTGTTTAATCGTTTATGTCATATATGTACTAAGTAGCCTAAATACATTTGTTCCTGCTCAAGATTAGATTCAACTTTATTGTTACTGCACATATTGCAGGTACTGAGACAACGAAATGCAGTTTAGCTTCTAACCAGGGGTTCAACAAGCAGCGAAAAGTAATGTGCACAATACCACAGAAAACAATTAACACAGTAAATTATGTGGATTAAACCACATTTATTTCGTTAAAAAGAAACGAAATATGATTTTGTATGAATGATTAAATGTAGGGTGAATTGCCCTAATGTGGGACATTTTTGCATTTCAGACTTCGGGAATATATTGCGATATGAAGCCGATACAATAAATCAAAATCCAGTACCATTCCGAAATCCCCAGTAATATTAGACACTAATAATACAGTAAACTATTAACACTGTACATATTATTGTTTGCCCGTGGGATTAGGATGATCGGTAGTGAGACCCGTGCTGCATTTTCATCCGGTCGGATGTGATATAAAAACAAAGCGATTATTTTTGTTGTTGTAAACTCACGTGGATTAAACTACATGTATTAGTGCATTAATTTCAACTCGCAAACATATGATACATTAAATGATCGTGAGGATGATGATTGAAAATCGTTTGTTTGAGCCTGGATGCATTTCCTGATCTAAAAACATAGCGATGGTTTTGTACTTACGCCAACGTGAATTAAACATTATTTTGTTAAATAAAAACATGGGGATGTTTAGTAAATGATTACATGTCTCTTATTTAGCACAGAATATGATCCTATCCGTGACATATGGATCTTAACAAATATCCGCTATATCAGATCCCCGTAGATCAGCTGTTTATTTCACATGAGTTCCAGTGTGGCAGCTTTTTAATCACTGCTCCCCCTGGTGGATCCATTATCCATTGCAGCTGGTTTCATTATAATTAAATGTATTTATCAAGGGGGCGTTTCAAGTCCTACGGGGGGGTTTTCCTTTTCAGCAGGGGCCCACCCCGTGCCGATCACGGACCCGCACGGGTAGGCGTCTGAAATGGAGCGCTCCATCTGTATGTCCTGTGCCGTTGGAGGTTCCGCTGGGGGTCCTGCCAACTCTATGTCCTATCCCGTTGGAGGTCCCGCCGACTACTCTCCTGCCGGGGGTCCTGCCAACCCTGTGTCCTGTCCCGTTGGGGTTCCCGCCGACGACAATTCTGCCGGGGGTCCTGCCAATATCATGTCTTGTTCCGTTGGAGGTCCCGCCGTCACCTGTCTCGCCGGGGGTCCTGCCAAATCCTGGTCCTCTTCCGTGGGGGTTCCTGCCGAAGCCTGAGCTGTCTGGTCTTCGCCCTCGAGCCCGGCCCCCTGAGAGCCGCGGTCTTCGCCCTCGGGCCCGGCCCCCTGACTCTTCCTTGGATTTTGCCTTGCCCCCGGGCCGTCCGCCCGAGTCCCCCTTTTTGAACTCTGCCTGGCCCCCAGGCCGTCCGCCCGAGACCCCTTCCGGGTCCTCCGCTGTGCCCCTGAGCTGTCAGCCCAAACCCGTCCTCCAGACCCCCTCCACCCACCCTGTTGGCCCTAGTTTTTTTAACTGCTCACAGCGGTAGGTTGTCCCAAACAGTGATGCAAACTTCAGTGCATGTCTCCTTAGAATGGGAAAACCCTCAGCCCACACACCCCCTGCGAGATGGAGTTCATGACTTTATGAGCTGTTCATGAGCACTCATGAAACATTCATGAACAACTCATTATATGTTCACTTGTCATGTTCA